ATTATATTAAGAGGATGCTACATTCACATGCATTGTCTTTATCTTTTAAACGTGGAACATGTAAAATTAATCAATTAACTCTGTTATGTTCAATATAAGAGAGAATTTATTTCAACTTATCCATTGACTATTATCAAATTTGAAAATAAGAATATAATCTAGTGACCACTTAGGATTTTTTTTTATATTTTAACTATTTTGAATTAAATTATGAGTGTTTTAATGTTATAAATTACTTGTGCATTTAAAAATACCCAAAATTTGATTCTAAATTTAAATTAAAAAACTCCTACTATGTTCACTAGATTATATTCTAACTTCCAAATTTAACAATACCTAGGTCAATCAACTCTTATAATAAACATAACAGATTTAAATAGGTTATTCTCAGGACATACAATTTACTATGTTATACATTTGCAAGATACAGACAACGCATATAGGTGAAGTGTTCTCTTAAAACGTCTTAATATTAAATCAATGCAAAATWATTTTTAAATAGGTATTTCAGTATTAATACGAGATGCCACTTAAATGATTTATACAGTTATCTATTGATATCATAATTTATATTCAACCCACAAGAATRAAAATTKKTATTTAATTAATTTAATTAAAATATTTACTCTATTCAAAATAAGAAAGGAACATCTTTGCGCACATACGCTGAGCTATGGAACACGGTCAGATTATATTCTTGAATGGTCAATAGGCAACATTCAAAGGTGATACTTTATCATTATTGTTAGTCAGATACTCAAAACTGTACTAGTTTTACAACTACTGTTCCCTTTTTATTTGGAACAGTATAGTTAAAAGGATCCAACAGTCATATATTATACATATTTTAAGATAATTAAATGGTTTAATATCCAAACACAGTAAAAATAAATATATAATGTTTTACTTTAAAATAAAATTAAAAAGTTAACACTTATCACATAAGTGTTTAACTTACCTTTGGCCTATCGGTCTTCAAAATGTCAAAATAACTCAGTATTTAAATAATGAAAAAGAACAAGCAAGAAGAGTGCAATGTAACAATGCTATACAAGAATCTAGGTATCAAAATTTTTAAGATCTTTGCAACCGGAAAACAGCTGCAAAATGCCAAATAGTGTTTTGTGCTTTTGTAGTTATATTTGACAATGATAATGCAATATAACCAAAAGCAAAATGTACCAAACAATAACTAACCTTGAAAAAACTATTGCTAACATTTCTTCCAAGATTTTACACATAATTATGACGTATTGAAYATATATATATAATATATCGGTACATAGAGGACGTATGAACTACTACGGGCAGTAAAGTTGGGTTCCCCGAGATAACAGCTAAATTTATCTCATGGAATATCATAGGTGATAAACAGAGTGGTTATACGACGGTTACGTTGTGGTTACTGTACAGCATAGACGTATAATATATATATATATTTAATATTTATTATAGGTCTATGCTGTACAGTGTTCAGTATTCAATATTTCAATTTTCAATAAAAATATATATTATTAATTTTTTCAATAWATTTTCATTTTTCATTGCAATTCAAATTTAATTACCATTAAATAAGTATCCATTAAAACTGTTTGAAGGAAATTATAATATTTTAATTTTATTCTATGAAAATATTGTTATCATTTATCAAGATAATAAACTATAAAATAATGGTATATAAATAATCTAAAAATCTTAAAAATCACACTCCACAGGACACAGGTATTTCCTATAGATTAAAATTTAAAATGTTTATTGTTTTCTATTGAGTTATTCAGTATTCAGTAATTCAGTTTTCACTGTTTCAGAAATCACTAAATCAGTAATCCGAGTACTGGAGTAGTCATTAATCAGTCTTTGATTTCTGTATATTGTCATAGGTGTTGGCCGTTGGAAATATTAAGTTTAATTAGTTTATTTATTATCAAATAACTATATCATTTAAAATATGCATTTTTTTCTTGTTTTTTAATTTTGATGTGTGGTTACCTATCTTTATATAATTTAACTAAGTATTTTCCTCAGAAAACAGTTTTAATAAATTACAGCTAATTAAGAAAAAAGTTAATCATGTTTGCAATATTTTTAAAAGAAAATGGTATTATTATTGGTATAGTAATTATGTTTATTTTGTGGTTAGTTCTTTTTAAAAGGATTGCCGGTTTCTTTGAGGTACATTATTCAAATTCAATTTTTATTTAACATGAAATATTAATTATAAATAGATAATGCATACTTATTTTTGTTGTTTTAGAAATTTATTTCAATGTATTCATCATACAAATTCAAGTTACCAGAAGTAAATGTTTTATTTCATTCATTGACTAGTGGAGTCTTTTGTTTCATTAGTGTTCCAATATGTTTTTCAACATTTAAACCATCTACGTCATCAGATTCATCCTTAATATACTGGTTACTGGATTCACTGCGCCAAATGATGGATCGTTGTGCAATTACAGAATCAGTGGATCCATCAAGAAATTTTAAGTTTATCATACTTTATTCATGTTTATTACACAGCGTTTATACATCATTTGCAAACAATTTAGAAGAGCGACCATTGTTAAGTACATTAAAGAAAGGTGCTGTACTTAGTTTCTTTGCCTCAACATACTGTTTTGGGTAATTTAAATTACTTTTTTTAGTGCCCTAGTAATATTTACTCTGAGGAAGTTTAACATTGGTTTTTAGACCTTAATCAAAGTGATCTAATACTACTAGTATTTAAAATTGTACAGTTGTACAGAAGCAGGTTTTGTATTCCTTGGGCTGTCTAATTTATCGCTTGGAACATTAGAAGCTGCTAGACTGTTGAAAGTTTGTCATAACAAAACAAATAGTATGCTTATCAAAATATTAAGCTTTGGACAGTTTGTTGTACATTGTGTTATTTGGTAAGGGCAAAAGAAAAGTTATTAATTAGATAATTAATAATTTTATACGATTTTCCAGTTGTTTATAAATTATTGGTTACTTTTCAACAGGATATCAATTTACTTGTTCTTGGTGCCATTTATTGTGCTATCTTCAGTTGAAGTACTAACAATGAATAATGATAATCAGCTACCACTTTCAATTATGTTGTTCAGTCTTCTAATATTTTACTTCATTGAACTAAGAGATAGTGTATGTTTCAACTAATACTACTAATAGCATCCCTACCTAATAATATATGGTTGCAWAAATATATTTTTATTTTTATTTTTATTAAATTTATTTTTTACAGCCATTAAACATGTCAACAACTAGTGGAAATGGTATATTTAGATTATTTGAATCCCCTAAAAGCTCGTAAGAACTATTTTTTATGAAATTATTTATTATAATATAATGCTATAATTATTATGTATATAGGTTTAATCATATAATAATACATTATATTTCTGTTAAATAAAAATGCATATAATTATTGACTTTTTTAGACTTACGCCTGCAAATAACAGTAGCAAAAGAAATCAAAATAAACAGAAATCAAAAGAAAATTTGTTAGTGTTGTACCAAACTACTAAATGTAACTAAATTTATGTTTTATTTATTTAGTTAATTCTTTTAAACTCAAATTTTAATTATTTTGAAATAGGTGCTATGGCAGTAAAGAAAAAAGTACAAAAAATTCGACAAGATAAACTAGCTACTAGATTACTAACTGCATCTGAAATTAAACCTGAGCCCATTGAGGTGATTGAAATATTTGATGATTGAAATGTATCAAAAAACCTAAGCTTATTTGTTATATTAATGTGTTTAAAAATATGTAATTAATAACATTAAGTTTTTTAGCGATGTAATTTTAAATTTTTGTAAATTAAATGTACTTGATATTGTAATGTATTATAGTATATAAACTAATGTATTGAGCTGCAAAATATTTTATTTTTCAAACTTCATTGAATTATTTATTTATTTTTAAATTACAAAGTATTAATTTATACATTTAAATATGTATGTATTATTTTAGTTTATAGTCTATAGTGTTTCAATACTTTTATTTATGTATTCTTTGGTCTTCCTAATTAACTTATCTAGAATTTTTCTATTGATAAAAACGTTAGAGATCTAAAATTCAAAATCTAATCACAGTGTTTCCCATTGTAGAATATTAAGAATTTTGTTTTATTTACTGAATTCATGAAAAGTACTATTTAACTTTAATAAGCTCATTTTTTGTAAAAAAAAAAGATGTGAATACTTCAGTATTATAATTATCTGTGATAGATATGATTTTCAAACAAATTCATAATATTATTTAAATTAAATGTTATGTAAATTGTACTATTTACACTAGTGTAGTAGCTACTGTCTAAGTAAATACTCTATTCARTTTAAGTTGACCCACTCGTCAGACGAAAACCAGTCATGATTGCACATGTCTCGCAGCGGTAGTGTCCGATGTCGCCTTACCACCTATTGACTATGACACCAGTCTCCGATAGTTAACGACGATCGGCGACCAATCACAGATCACCATTCACCAACCAGAGGAGTCTGACCGTTTCGGCGGGTCAGTATGCATGCGCGAGAGTGGGTCAACTTAAACTGAAGTATACTAGAGTATAGTACTTACATCTTGATTTATGGTTTTTAAGCATACATTCAAGAATAAATACTGCAATTACGATTTATGGCAGCAATATTAATAAAACTAAGTTTTGGTTTATATTCCAGAATATAACAATAAGTCATTGGTGCCTACTGTCACTGATAAATAATAAATATATTAGTCCTAAAGTATATTTAATTTATATTTTATGATTACTGTCAGATACGAAATTACTCTCCAACAATATTTTCGATGCTGACAAGTGGCGGTCAATAGTCTTGTAGTTTGTACTAGAGTAGCTGCAGTAGCCACTATATAGCCACAAGTCACTAATAATAGATTCAATTGTTTCCTTTCAAAATAAAAGTTTGCTAATAAGCAACAACTGATACTGATTATCACAAATCTGTTTAGAATATTGTATTAAAATTAAACTAAATAATTAAATTTGAATTTTTGATTTGAACTACTATACTGAATATCAAATCAAATCAACTAGAAATATTTAATAAAAATAACCATTAGCTAATAGCAATTTTGTCATATTTAAATTTTCTGTTGATAATTAGGAGGCTACTAGACTAGACACTAGAGCCTAGAAGTTAATGTCACGATTAAAGATATTTGATAAAATGATAATAGTTGATGGACGATATTACGATAATTTATTTCTATAATAAACTTATATTATAATCATAGACCTACCTATAAACTACGATTTAAGATAGGTTTAAATCGTGCTATAAAAACAGAACTATAGTTTATATTTTATATTAAGCTCATAAAGCACGATTAAAGATATAAAGATATCTTTAATCGTGTCATAAAGGTAAAAATATTAATAAATAAATGGCGGGAATTTTTATCATCAATATTCTTACTAACAATTTGATAATGCCCTTATTACTCTTCAGGTTAGACTTAGATTTAATGGTTTAAAAAAATTGTGGAATATTCAATCTTAAAACCGCGGCCAACAAGTGCATCATCTTATATTCATTTTTCCTATACCAAAATTGAAGTTAGTTTTAAAACAATGTAATTGTGATTTATTTTTAAGTATTATTTTTTTTTATACTTAACTTTTAAAATAATTGCATGTTTTATTTGAATTTAAAACCACTGTTTTCCAATAATTGTGAGTCGAAAATCAACATGAAAAGATCTCACAGCAAAGTTCAAAAGGTACTTATGATTTTAAAATTATAAAAATATTCATTATGGTATTCAAATGCGTTCTTTCAGAGTCAGTCTACCAATTCCAAGCAGATGAAAATCACTGCTCTATTCTCACGCATACCTATGGAGTCATCAGAAACTATCACAGAATATAATGGAAATGGACTCTGTACAACGCCTAACTCTAAATCTTTTTCAAGTCCGCTATCAAGTCCCGATGTTATACCCCCATCACCAGTGTTGGAGAAAAAAAGAAGAGCTACCAAATCTAAAAGATGTATAAATCCTGTTTTAGTTGATGGCATTGAACACAAAGACAAATTGACTGTTTTAAACACAGATTTTGTTGCAAATTGTTCTAATGAAAATGTAGATTTACTTACAAAGAGCAAAGAAATATCGAAATGTGATTATAATGATGTCGATAGTCAGTCATTTTCACTTGATACAGTATCAATAGAAAGCTCCTATACTGAATTTAGTTTGGATTTCTCATTGGATTGGTTAGTTATAGTTTATAGTTCCTAGGAACTTCAATAAAAATACCTAATATATTCTTCTTACATAATGTAATAACATATTTAAAAATTATGTATTCTAGCGATATTAATTTAAATGAACCTCATCGATGTCTTATAAAAAAAATTGAAAAAGATTTTACCAAATTTTGCTTAACTTTGAGTTCTTGTAAAAGTTATGAGGAAGATGTATGTTATCTTAGTGGTATTTGGTAAATATTTCATTATTTTATTACCACTCAATTACTAATTGTATGTATTTTCTTGTACTTGATATTTATAGTCTTGTGTATGATTAAATGTGTGTTTAGGCTTCATAGTTTATTTGAAGTAGGAGATATTGTATTTGTAATGGCAAAAAAAGTAAATAATCATTGGACAGTAAATAGCGATTATGGTTTTGTTACCAGACACTCAGACTTTTTAGTTTCTGGCACAACAATTGTTGGATCATTATTTTGTTCACGACGTTCAGTTCTTGCGGATATTTATAAAGGACTTGACTGTTCTTCTGCAGTTATGGTTATTGGAACACTTCTCCACCAAATGCTTCAAACGGTAAATATATAAAAAAAAATGTTGTTTCCTTACATTTAATCAATTAATTAATTACATTTTTTTTTTAAAGGTTTTGAAAAGAAAGAAATTTAATCAAAATGACATAAAAGCTGTAGTAGATGAAATGGTTAATAGTCCAGGTTTTGTGCACACCCTCTATGAATCAGACATGAATTTTGAAACAACCAAAAAAGAACTAATGGATTTTATACCAAACATTCAAAACTTTGTTAGAACTTATATGTTTGATAATCAAATGTAAGTTATACTTRAATTATAATTATCAATATTAATGTAAATATTATTATCTTATAAAATGTATCTATACTCTGTCCAACAAGAGATTTAACTGCGAGCTTATCAAAATCAATCCTTTTGTAAATCCTTCCACGATATTCTGCCATAGGGAAACGAGTTTAACAAAGAACTAGGGTGACTAGAAGGTATGTATTGAATCGACACATTCTCCCACTGGACAGAGTATACAATCAAATTACTAGAGATTAAAACAAATTTCACTACCTATTCTTACTATTATTTTAAAATTTGACTATATTCATTTTGATTTCATAATGTATTTTAATAATCAAAAATCATTTTAAGTAATGAAATTCTTAAAACAAAAACATTATTAGAGGTAAAGAAAAAAAGACTTGGCAAGGCAAAATCGTTTCGATTGAAGATATAGAAGATAATTTATGGGTACCAGCATTTGGTGTTAAGGGTAAAGTAGATATTACTGTACTAGCCAATTATGAGGGTAAATCCAAAATTATGCCTATTGAATTGAAAACTGGTCGAGCTTCTGGAAGTGAGGAACATCGTGGCCAAGTAATACTGTATACAATAATGATGAAAGAATTGGGTATGGATGTAGATTCAGGTTTATTATTATATCTCAGGTAAATTTAAACAGTAATTTATTATTTTATAATTAATTAATTAATTATCAACGCATATATTATGGTTGTAGAGAAAATGTATTGACTCAAGTAAAAGTTGGTCATAGAGAAAAAAGAGATTTGATAATGCTACGGAATCGACTTGTAMACTATTTAAATGCAAATAAAATAGTTTCAGACTCTATTGATGACTATATTCCAACCCTACCTGAACCTATTAACCACCACAGTGCATGCTCAAAATGTCCTTATTTAACTGCATGTTCTGCTGTTTTAAGGTAAAATTTAAATTATTTTCATTTATTTGTTGTATAAATTTTATTGTTAACATACTTGAAAACAAAAACAAATTATAGCAAAGAAGGTTTTGAAAAATTGGATCATCATAATCCATTAAAAAATTTAGGCCCTCAAGCTATAAGCCATTTAAAATCTGAACATATTAATTATGTAATGCAGTGGACTGCTTTTTTACAGTTGGAAAATTCAATCGAAAATAATAGAGATGATTTATCCGCAAAATCTAGTGATTTATGGACATTGTCTTATTTTGAGCGGTTAGTGATAATTCATTGTATTTATTATTTATGTTGCAGATATATTAAGCTGATTTATATTTTTTCAGTGAAAAACGTGGAAACTGTATTAGTTTGTTAAAAATTAAAAATGTGGTAAAAGAACAGGGAAACCGGTATTATTTAAATACAATGGAAAAATCAAACAAGTCTGATAAAATTAAACACACTAATTTCTCTATTAATAATTATGTAGTAGTCAGTACAAAGCATCGAAATGCAGTTGCAACTGGTTTTATTTCAGCCTTAACTGAAACATCAATTGATGTTTTATTAGATAGGTAAAATAAAATGAATTTGAAAAACATATTTTATTTGTATTTATCAAGATTTTATTTTCAGAGATTTATCCAAACTAGGATCTATCGTTTTCCATGTAGATAAATACGAGTCACAATCAATGATATCATTTAATTTTTCAAGTTTAGCACTTTTATTAGAACCGAGTGAAAATTCAGCTCAGTTAAGACGATTTATTATTGATAAAGAAATGCCTTCATTTTTATCATCATACAATCATTTA